AAATGCTAAAAAAAGGTTGCCCTTCCCATGAGCTTTGTCAGGAGTAGTGTTGTTAGTGTGGTTCGACTCAGCTCGAGGGTTCGTTAAAGTTCGAGTTCGGCTCGACTCGTTTGATAAACGAGCCAAGCTCGAGCTCATTTAGGGCTCGTTTGGTTAACAACTTGGCTCGATAAGGCTCATTAAGACTCAAAAAGAGAATTTTTATATAATTTTTTATATTTCGTCTAATTAAAGCTCGATATTGACTCGTTAGGGCTCGAACTCGGTTTGTTATTCGAGCTCGATTTCAGGCTCGTTTATTTAACGAGTCGAGCTTGGCCTGTCTTGTTTATAGGCCTAGTCAGAAGCCAAGCTGAATAAGGTCAACTTGATTTCATCCTCATAGATGGGAGCCACCAAGTGATGTTGAAAGCCAAGATAATAGAGTGTGGGATATGTTGCATCACTCCGTGAGACCCCTTAGATGTAAAGAGTTGTGCATAAAAAGTGTCACCTAGTCTTCAATCTCTTTCTTAGTGTCACAAATCCTGTCTTCCCCTAAAATTAATATGTAAATGGCATTACTCTTCCTCCTATCTTGAGTATAGACATGGAAAAATTTAGTGTTACAATCTCCCTCTTTCAGCTAATGGATTCTAGCCTTTTGTCTTCAAAAAGCTTCCTTGTCACAATGAACTAGATTCAAGCCTCTTTTGATTGTCTCCTATTCATCCCAATTTCTATCTCCCTAGTCTTCCTCATTTCATCTAGCTTTAAAGTCAACTTCTCAATCTCCTCATACTTGCCCTATTTTAATCGCAAATATACTATTTTTTTGTGGTTTATGAATGATTTATTTATGGTTTATTTTTATTAGTGAAATTTGAATTACATTATTTACTAGTTTATTAATAGTTTATGTATAGTTTTATTTTGAATCTCATGTTGTTATAATAGTTTACAAAAAAATGTGATAAACATGTAAATTAGCCAAACCAAGATTAATGCCATTCTTAATGGGCTTTGGTTGGCATATATAAGGCCTGCTTAAAGGTACCTAACAATCACAATGTCTTACACAAAACATGTGAAAGCCCAAATCTAAATGCCACAAACCCATCTGAATAATTCTAGAAACCTCTTATCTTCTTCATAAAACCTCCCCCATTCACTGCTGAACTTTCTAGGTTTTAGCTATCATCTTTCCCAACTAATCCTCCATTGTAGCTACTTAGTGGTTACATTTTCAATCGTTGGCTAAAGGTACTGTTGTTCGTTTTCTGTTTACTTCATTTCGTGTAGCTTTTCACGATTCTCTTTTTTCTCGTACTTTTGGTCTTAGAAATGCGACACCTTTGCAGTTTGCGAACAAGAAAATGGCTGCTGCACAGTTGACTTCGGTTGCTTCCTCGATTTCCGCGAAAGGGTTTTGTTCGTTCGATGGTCTGAAGGCTTCGAGGGCTGGGAATGTGTCGTTGTTATCGCCCTTGAAGCAGAATGGGCTTTCGCTCAGGTCTTTTCGTGGGCTTGTCGTGAAGGCTGCCACGACAATTGCTCCTAAGGTATGCGAGCTGTTAGTCTGATTTAGGGCTTCCACATTGCATTTTCCAAAGTTCAGAGCTTGTAGTTATTTGTTCTAGCACATATTTGTAGTTTTGTTTATGTGACAGAGTATTTGGATTTGACTGGTTTGATTTTTAAGGTCTATCAATCTTTTGCTGATGATGTGAGAAATATTTTTTGAGCTTTGGTAAGCTGAATGGGTTGCTTAAATTGGGAATTTGACATCTTCCCTCCGAATTTGTAATCCTGTAGCAAGCTCGCTATGATTTTATGTTTAAGAGTGCTTAGTTGGGTTCACTAGCTCAAATGAGAACTGTATTTATGTGTAAAATTATTAGGATATGTAATGGTCTACTCAGCTCATCACACGTGCTTTGCTTGTATCCTCTAGTACACGTCTCTCAAGCCATTGGGTGACCGTGTTCTGGTGAAAATCAAGACGGCTGAGGAGAAGACCTCGGGTGGTATCTTACTACCTTCAACTGCCCAATCGAAACCTCAAAGCGGCGAGATTGTTGCTGTTGGTGAAGGTCGGACAATTGGTAATAGTACAGTGGACATTAGCGTTGAGGTACCATTGGGAAATGGATTGTCGTTTTGGGTTTTCTTTCTTTCTTTTTGTTGTTTATTGATGGTTGGTTTTGCTTACCTGATGATGACAATTGTGTAGACGGGTACCCAAGTGGTGTACTCGAAGTATGCTGGGACTGAAGTCGAATTCAATGGAGCCAACCATCTCATATTGAAGGAGGATGATATTATCGGCATTCTTGATACGGATGATGTTAAAGATATGAAGCCTTTGAATGATAGGGTTCTCATCAAGGTCTTATTTTTGTTTTTAAAATACCGTTATTTTCTGTAATGTGGTCGAGAATTTGCGCAGCGTCTGGTGACAACAGTTGTTTGTTGGACTTTTTACGACTTGAAGGAGTCTCGATTTCTTATTTTTACTCTTTATTAAAATTTAGGTGGCTGAGGCTGAAGAGAAAACTGCTGGTGGTTTATTCCTTACAGATGCAAGCAAGGAGAAGCCTTCAATTGGCACGGTAAAAGCTAGATTTTAGATTTCTAGAGTGTATGCTATAGACACTCGTAATTTTTCAATGAAAATGCATACTTTTGTTATAAGATGTCGTGCTTTAAAAATTAAGTATACATTTGTTTTATAAAAGATAGAACTAACTGAAATATTAATATACCCAGGATGGGATGGAGTCCTTTGATAGAGATGTAAAAGAAAGTGTAGTTTATTTTTCCTTTTAACTTCTAATTATCTAATGTTCTAGTCACTGTGTGTTTATTAATTTTTGTAGTACATTCTGTAACAACAGGTGGTTGCTGTTGGACCTGGTCCACTTGATAAGTCGGGCGAGAGGAAGCCATTGTCGATTTCTCCAGGAAACACGGTTTTGTACTCGAAATATGCAGGCAACGATTTCAAGGGCAATGATGGGTCCAACTACATTACCCTAAGGGCATCGGATGTCATAGCTATTCTCCCTTGATTGCTGCATTAGTTTGCCCGGGAAAGGTTATTGATCAAGTCACCTTTCAAACTTAGGATTGAGTTTGTCGATCGTGGAAGCTTCTGTAATGTATCCAAAGTGTAATGATTCACAAGATTCTTCAAGGGTCTCTGTGATTGGGTTTTGGGAAGTCTTGCCTGTATTTTATTAGTTGAA